TTTTAATATCAAAAATTCACTTCTTTCGACCCTGAAACTCTAATCCGCCATTCCTTATATTCTTCCTCAAATCTCAACCAAAAAACTTGAAATTTGTTTCAAATATTGGTAATTGAGCCCACTAGCAAAGCCCCAGAGAAATCAGTGCAAAGCATGTTGATTTCAGTCTGGTTTAACATCCAAATTTTAGGTTTTTTTGATGCCCAGAATCCTAATCCACCATTTTTTGTTGTTCTATCTAATATCTCAACGAAAAAATTCAGCCTTTTGTTTCAAATTGTTTGTAATTGATCCCACTAGGAAAGCCCTATATAAATTTATTACATCAAGTGCAAAATCTGAAGAGACCAAGCTCTTTTTTATGAAAAAATGGCTCAACTATCTGAATAAAAATTATATTTTGTTATAAATAACTCATTATCATGTTCAATTTCAGTACAGTTTCTGCTTTAAATTGTATTAGAATTGATTTAGATAATATTTGTTAAGTTTTCCTCTGGTTTATAATGAAATCGATAATTTTATTGCTTGGTTCTCTAATTTTTTGAAAAGATTCCTCGATTTTTGAAGATTCCTTTTTTTGTATATATTATCTTTAAATTTCTTTGTGTTTTTGTTCTTGGTTGTGTTAGACAATTTATATATTATTTTTGGTTTTGGTTCTAAATTCCTTTCTTTGCATGCTTTTGTATTTGTGTTTTTGTTCTTGGTTGTGTTAGACAATTTATATATTATTTTTGGTTTTTTTCTAAATTCTTTTCTTTGCATGGTTTTGTATTTTTTGAGAAAAACTAAAGTTTTCGAAAAATTTATTCAATAGAAATTTTTGATAAGCATTATTTCGTTAATCAACATTTAAATAGTATGTCCTTGTATTATTTTTAATCATAATGTTGTGCATTTCTCAAAACTATACAATCTTGAAATGTACTACATATATACTATTGTGGAACTTTATTCCACCAGCATTCAAAAAAGTGGACCGCCCCGCCTAGGCAGTCAAATTGGGCATACCGCCTAGGCAGGCGCCTAGTGCCCAACCCTTGGCGTCCGCCCAGGGCCTACGCCCTGCCTAAGGGCGGAATTTTTTTTTTTTTTTTTTGTTCTATTGGTTTTTTTTGAAACATAAAGGCTTTTAAGAATGGGTTTTAGGTTCATTTGAAACCTAAACCCACAAACCCATTTTAGAGAGAAAGAAACTTCAAAGAAACTAAATTTTGTGATTTTCATTGGATCGAAGTGTTTCTCAAAGTTATGAAAAATAGATTCAAACATCACCCGGGTAGATTAGATTTAGTTTTGGAGTTTTATAATCCTATTACAAGATGTTTTTGATTATTTTAGCACCTGAAAACATCTCCGGGGTGGAATTTGAGCAATCAAAGTAAGTGCAAAACTTTATTTTTAGATTTCTTGCTTTATTTTGAGATGTCTTATCCAGGATCTAGTCGAAGTGGAGATCCGGGTTGGAATATGAATATAATCCGAATCCAAATGATAAAAATTGCATTAGATGCAATTGTTGTGAAAAAAATACAAAAAAGGGCATAAACCAGTTTAAGAAACATTTTGCCGGTATTAAAAGGAATGTTGCCCCTTGTAAAAATATTTCTGAAGCTATAAGAGAGGAGATTAAGCAATATATGAGTTTTGTAAAACAAAAACAGGAACAAAGTCCTTGTCATTTGAATATATCTATTTCTGCATCTTCTAGAAGAAGTGATCCAGGTTGGAAGTATGGTTATAACCCAAAACCAAACGATTAAAATTATATCAGATGTAATTTTTGTCAAAGAGATACCAATGGGGGTATTAACCGATTCAAGAAACACTTTGTTGGTATTAAAAGGAATATTGCTTCTTGTAAAAAGGCTCCTGAAGTTATTCGGGATGAGATTAGACAATTTCTAAATTTAAAAGAACCAGAAAATGATGAAAATGAGCCTTGTTCTATGGAAATATCTTATCCAGGTTTTCGAGAAGTGGTGATTCGGGTTGAAAGTATGGTTATAACTTGAACCCGAATGACAAGAATCGTGTTAAATGTAATTATTGTGGAAAAGATACTAATGGGGGCATTTACTGGTTTAAAAAACACCTTGCTGGTATTAAGGGGGATGTTGCCCCTTGTAAAAATGTTCTTGAGGCTACTAGGGAGGAGATCATACAATATTTGAGTTCAAAGAAGCACAAAAAGATAGAAAAAAGTATAGCAGCCAAGACTCCTATGGCCTCATCTGCACATACTTGTAAGAGGGAGGTAGAAGAAAAAGAGGAGGAAGATGTCAATTCAGAAGAAACAGAGGAGGACGAGCATGATATTGAAGAGAAAGATGACTCTGATGATGATGGCCTCAAATCTTAAACGTATGATGAGGCTTACCCTATTCCTTTTGATGATGATGATGATGATTGAAGACTCTTGGTGTTGAGTGTTGAATGCTGACTATTGTGTCCTAAACTGTATATTTTTTGAATTTTTGTATATATTTTTTTTCTTATTTTTAGTTTCTACTTTCTAGTTTCTAGTTCTACCATCTAACTTTTGTTTGTACAGTCTACAGTGTATCAGACTATCAGTGTATGCTTGTATGGTTTAACTGTTTTAGCATTATACAAAAATATGAATTATGGTCTTATAGATTATCAAAATTCTCTTCTCGACTTCAATCTTTTTTTTTCAAGTGGGATTATGGTCTTATGGATTATCAAAATTCTTATGGATTATCAGAATCAAACTATCTTTTTTTTTTTTTTTTTCAACTGGGTCGTCCAGGTTCTGAGCGCCCGCCTATGCGCTGGGCGGCCTGGACCCCCATGGCCGCCTCGGTGCCGCCTAGCGCTTTTTGAAACTATGTTATATTCCACTTAGTAACCAAAGTCTTGGTATTC